CAGACTTACAGTGCACTTCCGCAGAGTTGGTGTTTGGTACCACCCTCCGTCTACCGGGTGAAATTATCTCACCTGAAAGTGGTGAACCAGGTGCTACGGATGTACAGGGTTATGCTCAGAACCTCAAGCGCCTAATGCAACGCCTGCAACCAACTCCCACTCGCACACAAAACAGGAGAGTGCAAGTAGACGCTAGACTCGATGGCTGTACCCACGTTTTTGTGCGTTGTGACACCGTCCGTAGACCCCTACAACCTCCTTACGATGGACCATTCAAGGTCGTCAGTAGAAAAGAAAAATTTTTTGTTATTGATCGATTTGGCCGGCAAGACACCGTAAGTGTAGACCGACTTAAAGCGGCCTACATTGAAGACTCGGTACCCCTGACGCCTACGCAACCGGCAACTACGCCCGCACTCACACCCCAGCCAAGTCCGATGGTCAACAATCCTGCTAAACCTAGCAGTTCCTCGGATGAGACAAGTAAGGCAACAGTCACACGCGCCGGTCGGCGTGTGCACTGGCCTAAGCGATACTGCGAATTCGTTAACTAAACACTTTTACGTATAAGAGTAGTTCATACTCTCATTTTTTTTTTCTTTCTTTGTCGCAGTTTACATTCATTTTCCATGGTATTTACCCTTTTGATTTAGTTTGTGGGCAGTAGCCGCTTTTACAGTTACTAACCTTGTTAGATTTCTTTCTCTTTACAGAGTGCTCTAGCATTTTATTTTCGGCCTTACACTCGAACAGCTAACTACATCAATCAACTCTATCGTCGTATGGTGACTACCAATACTCGTGGAATTACAAACCAAACGACCAAAAATATGGACCCGATAAAAAAAAATAAATAAAAAAAAAAATAATAATAAAATAAATAAAAAAATAATAAAATGTAAAAACAAAAACTTTCACTGTATAGTTAAACGGACCGTGAAATATTTTTGGTATGTAAATACGTCACTTCTATGCTGTACAGTTTAATCCGCTCAATCTATTTTCACAGATCTTACTATTTTCACTCGAGTTATGTCATGACGAATCTTATTTATTTTGTGACCCATACTTGTAATTACTTTGCATCACTTTAATTATGCAGCTCGCTACATTTTTTTTTAACAAATGGTGATTATACTTATTCATAGCTATTGGTTGTACACACCCTTCTCTGTACCTTGCATAAGTTTCCACAGTGTTAGCAATTTCCCTTGTTTTATTTCAATTTGGCGTACCGTTTCCATGTTACACTAGTCCCTTCGCATTTATTCCGCTTAATTTTTTTTTGTTAACACCCTATGTTGATTTTTAAATCTTAACCTCTTCTTCTATTCTTTTCTGTTGCTTTTACTTTATTCCTCCTAATACGCTGGTATATTGATTGCCTTTGGTGTTACTAGTAGTTTTAGTTGTTGAGGAAGGATGGAGCATTAGTCTAAGAGGAAACTTAGACTTAATGAGTCACCTTCCAGTTATAACAACGTGGGTAATGGAGGTAAACCATCACACCTCCACATAACCCAGCTCGTATTAGTGAGTCGTCAAAAAAAAACAAAAAAAAAACTAAATAAATAAAATAAAAACAAAAAAATAAAAAAGATACGTATAAATAAACGATGTTCAAAAAAAAAAATCGCACCAAGGCATCAGCGTTATTCCTTCTCATATTCCATCTTACTCCAGCGATCATGTACATAGTGCTCATAAATTGCCTTAATTTTTTTTTCCTTCATTCTTTCCTTTCTCAATATATATATTTTTTTTCTTAAAAAAAAAAGAAAAACAGCTATTTTATTACTATCTTCACATTTCCTTGTTCATTCACCGTGATTGTACGCCACCTTGTTACTTTTATATATCGAAGCTTGCTGTTATCCCACCAACCTTCTAAGGGGGGGATAACCTGTAGTGTACATTGTACCTTTGAACTTTTGTTTGAATGAATGCAACCTGACATGTTGAACTTCACTTCCACTTCCCCTTTGTACTCCGGTTTCTCCTGTACGGTTACTGTCTCGCTCCCTCGCTGTACTTTCACCTAGTACACTCTTTGAGCCGACAGCCGTCTCACATCCAGATAAGTGTGTATTTTTGTATTCCTTATCAAATTGCATATCTCGTGGTGTAAATATACTTCCGGTCCGGTTAAACTTGGCATTTTGAGTCTTCTAACTTCAATTCCGTTTCCTTAGTACTTGCACGTAGGCAGAGTACTAATTAAGGTTATAAACGGTGAAGGATTTTTGTAAGAGTGTTATTGTCAGTTAGAGGCAGACCCTAAGTCCAACTCTTACAACTGCATCAAGGCCTTGAACACCAGTTATACTGAGAATTGGTTTTAGATGTCAGTGATTTTCCAGGAAAACCAGTGCATCGTAGCTATATAGTTCTGAACCATTAGAGTTTGTCCACTGAAAAGAGAAGATTCGTCATGTCTGTATTCATTTCTTAGCCATTTTAACGCCAGGATTAAATCTCCTCCGCGCATAAAGTGTGCTTATGAGAAGAGATTCAAGTTGTTGATTCACCCCTCTGAATTCTTTACAGCAAATATGAGTTGAGGGCTGGCCACCTAGACGCAGGTGACTACTGAAGTCCCTACGTAATTTCCACAGTTATCTATATCTACTAGCTGTGACTGAAAGACAGTAGATCGCAGTTTTTAAGTAGCAACTTACTGTGGCTCCTAGATTCATGTGCGTCTCTAGTGAAGGGGATGTTATGCCCTATAAGTCTGTTGGCTCTTGTGTGCCCGATACACATGGTGGTGCAGTCCGCTACCCTGATGAGAAGCAATCGTTCTTTAAAACAACGTAACAAACTATTGAGGTCTGTTCGCATCTTAGGTATGCCACTGTATTCCTTCATTTCTTTCCAAGTTTCGACATGACTAAAACTCACTGTATTCTGCCCACAAGGTGTTCCTCAGTGAACTTGAGCGGGCCACAGTCAATCCCGAATTTTTCGGCTTGAAAGTAAGTCTAGTGAGGCGTTTTTTGGAGAACATTGTTGAGGTCTGTAAGGACAATGCCAATGGGTTTCTGGTTATCTCTAGATTTGTCATAGCTTCCTCGAATTGTGCGTTAAATAAAAGTCGTTTATCCAATATAATATAATAACATTAGGAATCATTCTTTCCAGTATCCGCATCAAAGTTATGGCAAGACCAATACACCCGTGGTTTGAGGGACATTGACCTAACCTTCGTTTGTAAATAAGGGGTTACTGCTGCGGCCTTCTGACCAGGAGGTAACACTCTGTGTGATGCGGATAGTCTGTAGAGAATTTCCAGTCGATCAGTCATGTGAAATGCCAGATGCTTGTGAGGTCTTAGGTGAAGACGATCGATTCAAAATAAATGGAAGACATTTCAGGTGACGTCAACTAAGATTGTCCCGCCCCCTTCGTCGGGTGGATAAAACTGATGGGATGAATGATTTCCTGGTCCGTTTCGATTGCGTATTTATTAGCAGGGAGTTTGCAACTCAGTAAAATGTCACGTTCCCGAGGTCCATGTACGAAAATGACTTCTCGGGTTATTTCATTAAGGTTTAGGCCGAAATTAGTTTCGATTTCGTTGTTGCTTGACTGAACTCAGGCATAAGTGTGTTACTAGCTGTAGTATACAGCGTCTGAAGTCATTAGGGTAGTTAAGCCCATTTAAACCCCGGTGAACTAATAATAATAATAATTTATATTTCGCATAAACGGGTAAGTTTACAAGAAATGTATGCCATTTTTACAGGCCCGATCAGTTATTTTATAAATTACAATCCTGAAGTATCATAAATTAATACTTCTTCAAAAGTTTGAATTGTTCAATTATTGTACGAGCAATCAGAACAGGTTCTTATAAATGTTACATTGTAAACCGTTTACTAAGGTCACCATCAAAGTTGAGCGACAACTCAAACTTCGTTCCGTTTCCTGCTGATAGTCATGATCAACCAGTTAACAGCGTATATCTGTGTGAGTGTTATACCGCCACGTGATTGAACGCTATTTCAGGAGGAGAAGAAACTTCTGAGCGGCTGCAAAATGGTATAGAATGCAATTATGAATAATACATTATTGAAAGTATGTTTACTAGATAAATCCAAGGGGAAGAAGCTATATAGTACTTGAAATGATAGTACACATTTGCAATGTTTAATGCTAACCATATTGGTCTTAGCATGGAAAATACGATGTTTTCGATGAAGATATAGCTTTTTTCAGACATTGTTGTCGTCATGATTTTAATCAAAGCAACCAGACTTTGGGCAAGCAACAAATATGAACAAAGAGCAAGTGTCAGCTTTAATAATGGCAGGGTTAGTTAACATAAAGTAGCGTATAATAGTGCGTAAATAAACAGATCATCATGAGGTAGATAAGTGATATTTAAGTGAGGAGGGAATTCAAAGGTCTGGAAAATTAGAACTCGTACAACAAGCTGACCTGTAAGATGCCTCACGAATTTCTGTGGGGCCCAACGAGTAGCATCTTGACAGGAAGCTGAACAGGCTTGTAGGTGGCAGGAGCAAAAGCACTTTTTGTATTTATAATTTAGATCTGTACAACCCTTACTATTATTTTTTGTTGAGGGTCCAGATTAATGTTTAATTCTCGAGCTGTCAAAAAATGCATGTTGCTGTCCTCCAGATTGGAGCGATTCACAATTGTGACCACTACCTCCCTACAAGAACACAGTATTGTGAAAAACCATGAATATCAAATTTTCAAAACTGTTTGACTCATGTAAGGTGTATATTTCAGAGATATTTCAAAAATTATCCATAATTGTATATTAAGTATCTTTAAGCGAGGAGCAAGTTATACTAATGGAAGATCTACTATTGAATCTTGTTTTCACAGTAAGTTGCAGCTATCCCTAGGGTGACATATACCAAGAAAAATCGGAATTTTCGCAAGGAAAGTAACTGAAAGAACTAAAATAGATAACTAGAATTCATCGTTTAGTATTGAGCACTGAATATGTATTGGACAATTGAAAAGTGTTGACCTTAAACAGCTAAACAGCATTTCCGAGCGCACCTTACGTTTTCGTTTCTCAAGGGTTAGTTCCTGGCATTATTTGGTTTTATGTCGTAGTGTTACAGCAGTTATTATGTATAGAGTCCTCGGAATTTGCAAAATTTTTTGTTATTAGGTGAAAAACATGCCCGTACTGGGGTATTTATATACTGGTATTCTAAGAAACCTTATTACGAAGATGTGCATATTTAAACCTTTGTGTTGGACCTTCGTATGTATTAGTTTATCGTTTTGTCTGTTTTTATAACGCGACAAAACCAGAAGTCTGTTCACGTTTGATTCACTTTTTCCAAGGGCAGGCTTATGTAGTCACTGTTGTGTCTATGCATAGATATGTATATACATGTGTTTATGCACACGTTTATTTAGACTTTTCCATATATGGACAAACGTAGAAAATCATCGTTCAGTAGTGTAACTATAGGTGTGTGAGTGTTTCTTAGCAAAATGAGTTGCGAAATCGTTCCTAGGTGTGTTCTCTTTGAGTTAAATTACGTATCTGTAACTTAGAGATATCCTATGCAAAACCTATTATTATTTCTTATCTAGTAAAGTAACTAAGACAGCAAGATATTTTACAGAACGGTATACTTAATGGAGATATTTTTAGTGTCTAAGTAAAGATTGCTGATTACTTACAGCATTACGAAGTTTCAGTTTGTTCCGTTTTATTGGTATTCTCGTGAACTGTACGTTTGCACTACATAATATACGCCTACTCAGTACGGAAAAATCCTTTCCTGTCGCTATTTTCTGACTACTGTGTTATGTTTCCTTTCTCGTGGCACCTGAAATTTACACTATCTTAAGCATAGTATCATGTTAATTTATCAGCTATGCTGTCTACCAGATGTCTGCTATCACCTAGCGTACTTCATTTGTATGAACTGCTCATTATTCACCTTATATCCCACTTCAGAACTGTTCTAAAATAATTTTCTTCAAATTACTAATTTTGTTTCCAGTCTTATTTCACGTTGGTGCATATACGGGTATGAATTATGCCATGGAACCCCCAGCTATGAGCACCTACTTGTCGGATAGTGAAACAGTTGGGGAGTCCACTAACCTTCTACATATAGAAGGTCATGATTGGAGTCAACTTCAAGATGGGACCATTGAAATAACTGATCGATTACCCAAGAAGGAATATTATATGAGCCTTCGAAGATTTAACAGCACAGGCCCAGCCTCTGGTACCGGACATCGATTGGGTAGCATTTCTAGTGGTTCAGCTGCTGGGCTAGCGAATGGATCTTCTGGTTTGCTTGGTGCTAGTTCAACGTCACCTCGTCCGGGTGGTGGCACTTTGCGTGGGTCTTCACATCCTTCAGTTATTGACTTTAAACCTTCTGGTAAAATGGTGGACTGTACAGTTGTGATGTTGGATGGAACAACGAGAGAGTTCCGCTTAGATGTGAGTTTTGTTTGTATAAGATCTTATATTAACGGTGTTTTCTGAGCTTTTACCGTCATAATGAGCGTTGATTTTGTATTTGGCAAATAGAAGTTGGCTTCAACTTACTAAACCCTACAATTCTCCATTTTGATATCCAAAGTTTAGTAACTGTATTGTATTAAAAAATTTCGCAAATATTTTTGGAGTTGTGAATATGGCGTGCATTCGGTATCTCTGAGTTAGTACATAGAAATGCGGCTGTGATGAATCTATTTGATTTTACACACAAATAAATGTTTCACAGGACCATTCAGTACTCATTTTGAGAGAAATCCTTTAAGACATTAGAAATGAGGTTTCAGGTCAGCTGTGGTACATATCATCTGTGATAAAAGCATCTAAATAAAAATGGAATTACTTCTGTTTAACGAATTTCATAGTGACATGAAATTATAACGTGAGTATCTGAGAGACGATATATGAACGGTAGGATTTGAATTATCATTTCGGATTGTGAGGGCGATTTTTACTTCCCTGCTGCCCATACCATGGAAGTTGGTTGCGTGACCGCAGAGCCCAGGGGACATCTGCTTGAGGCGGGTCACACGCGGCCTGTTTTTGTTTGTCCTTTTTCATATGGTGTGTCTCAGTAGCATATTTATCACTTCTGCCCTGTGACACGGCAGCAGGAAGTGCGGTCGTTGTTAATCCGGGCCCCGACCGATCTGGTATGATATTTTGTGATTTACTTTGAGTCATAGCATTGGGTCGAGTAACTGCTTTTTGTCTAACCGCTATCCAGACAACCTTTCTGGCATGGTAGGACCTCAAGCGACATAAGTCTCAGCCTGTATAGCTTGTTGGGTCATTGTGGTGTTCAAGCCCGAATACCACATCAAGGTAGCAGATTTCGGTCGGGCATTTGATAATTTGAATTATCAAGCAGACTGTTTAGTTAGTATTCATAGATACTTTAACTCCTAATGCTTTTCGTCATCGATAATTCCTAATGACATAAATGTAGTTTAGGCAAATCTTCAGAGGATTATATTGATGCCATTTCCGCAATTATGCCTTGTCCAGACGATAATCCCGAAGTTTCCAATGAGTTTTGACTCATTGTATTTAGTTCCTAATTGACAAGTACAGAAACTTTATTATTCGCTGTGGGTTTAGTTTAGTAATTTTCAATTAAAATGCTACAAGCTAATCAATCCAGCTTATAGAGCGTCTGAACGTATTTATCGTCGATGGCATAACTGATTTCATCTGATACGTTCAATGTGTGGTGGTGGTCATGGCGGTGGTACGCAACTGATTACTTATACAGGATTTTAAAGAACACATTACATAATATAATAAGCTTCATTATTATAAGGAAACCCACAACACTCAAAATTATTTTTATTATACTTCCGCAAATTAGGTTGCATTTTGGTTTCAATAGAATTGTTTCAAGCTATAGTTGTTTTGTGCATGTGTCTAAAACTAAGGAAGATCAAGTGACTCACTAGTGTTTTCATATAATGTTGACTACCCCCCCCCATTTTGTTTTTAGAAAGCTGCTTATGGACAACAATTATTCGATGCTGTTTGTACGCACCTTGGCCTACTGGAGGTTGAGTTCTTTGGTATTACATACTATGATTCAACTAATAATTGGGTAAGTGTTTAGTCGACAGTTCTTGCGTTTACTTGTTTGAATTTGTATCAGTAAAACGGTGCTCAGTATATGCGCACCCGTTAGTTTTATTATTGGACAACCATCCTGCCGTATAGCGAAAATATCCATTCAGACATTTAGGAAACAAAAGAAAATTGAAGCAAAAAATATTCTTTTCGGTAATTTCCTCTCCCAGTTCCACACGGAATGTTCTAGAATAATCGTTAATAACAATACTGGTGGTTTTTAGATAATATCAACGGGAATTACAGCATAAGCATAAAAATGTAATGGTAAATAGAATATCAAATAAAATTAAGGAAATCTCTACAGCAACAGATTAAGGATCATTATAACCTTGATTGACGGCCAAGGTAAGGAAAGTGTCAGAACCAACTTATTCTTTTGGATACATAGATTAGGCTTCTTAATGTAGATTCCAACAGCCTTAGCAATGTGCGTAACAGACGAACTTTTGAGGTAAAATTAAGCTTGGTTTACAGTAAGTAACTTTGAAGGCCCTGTTTTCCGTATGGACGAGATGAGACAGTATTGAGCTATGAATGGACTTTGTTTCTCACTTACCTAACCACTGGGCACGATGGTGTTCAGAAATCCAATGATAAACACACCACTGGGATGTTCACGAAATAAATGATGGTACCATTTTATTCTGCATAAATCACTGTTGTTCTTGCTTTATTCAAAGTAAAAGAACTCAGTGTATTTGGTGTGTTATAAACCTTTCCAAGGCACTTTTGGGGTTTTATTTTAAATAGGCAAGTTTGTCTGGGAGGATCAAGAACCAGGGTGGCTCTGATGGCCTGCTCTGTTTCTACCAAGCTAGTGTTCTTGAATGTAATATTAATATAGATTCAGTTTGTACTATACTAAGCGTAGTCTGTGACGTCCATAATTGTTAGTCTAAGCTGTATTATCTGCCGTACTTGAGTATCTGATAGGCCAATTGATAATCGGACACTTCTAGTAACTATCCGAAATTGATTCAGTCCCTACAGATGTATTCACTTTTAATCTTTGAAATTTTGAACAATTTCTTTAAATCATCTTTAATTACATATTTTTAAAAATTTCAATATTGTAACAATGGAGATTTGTAGTTCAGGTGGATAATATCGAATTATTTGTGTTCTCTGAGCTGGTTAATGATTTAATTGTGAAGCTTTCGTCGTCCCCCATCTACACAACAACCCTCTTCAGTGCAGGTTTTAGTATAAAATGAAATTATTTAATTTCCTTATGGATGATGTAATCATATCTCCTGTCAACCACTGCACATGTGTGCAGAAATTGTTTAAAAGAGTTAAAAAAACACTGTAGCACTATTCCAGTGTTGGGAATGGAGGAAAAATGCCTACTAACTGTCTTCAGAAGGAATGGATATCCTCACAATTTCATCAGTGTTTAAATTCGAGTCATGACACCGACAACAACAAGCCAACGTCAAAGAACACCAGAAAATTCATCCTACCATATATAAGAAAACATATCTCTGGAATAACAGCTAGAATAGTAAGACCGTTTGAAATAGATATAGCACACAAGCCAGCCAGCCAACCAGTCAGTCAGCCGGCCAGCACAATCACTTCATTCGATGTTGGGCAAACCGAAAGACCCATCCAACAGAAAAATAAGATAAAATTAATACCATTTACAAAATAGATTGCATGCATCGACTGCAATTAACATTACATCGGTCAATGTGAACATCCCCTTGCATGTAGACAATTATGAACACTAATGGGATAATGTAATGGGGAAACTTTAAATACAGGAAACACGAGAACTGTAGTCAGGGAATTTCTAGAAGCCCAGTTGATAGTCAAGTGAATCAGCCATTAATTAACAAACACACGTTGATACTACTATAGAGTAGATTTACCAGCCAATAAAAAGTACATCATCACATGACAAGATAGTTAGAATTCCGAGTTAATATAAATATGATCAATAGAGACGTAAATTAACAACCGGTCACGACAGTGGTTGTCAGAAGGGAGACAATTATAATATCATTATTCATTGAGGGAGAATTAAAATAAGTCCATTTTATACTAAAGCCTGCACTGTGTGAAGGGGGATCTTGTCTAGATGGGGGACGACGAAAGCTTTACTACAATTAAACCATCAACGAGCTCAGAGGAAACAGAACAAATTCAGTTCAGTGTTCTGTTTTCTTTTTTTTATATTCACTTGCATATTTAAGCTGTTTGCACTTTAGTACAAGATTCTGTTGTTAATAGTCATGTAAAAGCTTCACATTATGCACTCAACAAAAATAGCTGAATTTTTATAAAATTTATATCTATCCCTCGAATCATTCAGCTACACTTTTTTTATTAACTTCGATAAATAATTTTGCATAGGAATTCACTGACATTCGATTAAAATCGTAATGCCTGATAACACTGCGCATTTTCAAATGCACTGTAAGGTACGTATAGCTAAGTTGACTGTACTCTGAGTGCATAAATTATCCCTCATAAGTGCAAGCAGTTTTTTTTTTACTACAGAAAACTGTAGTGATATTTCTTTCATATTATCGTTTTGAATATTTTATTTTTGATATAGAGTTGTACCAGCTACATCCATATTTCCGTATACTAGAGGTGGTGGTAACTTGACTGATAGAATTCAGTCTGCACCAAAGACTGAACTAGACACATTCCATATAGTTACTAACTAGTTTCCAATCAAAGATATGCCACACAGTCACTCCTGCAGGAAGTCAATCGCGAGTCCGAATAGCTCAGTGCTGGTAACGTCTCTGTGACTGTAGTATTGGGTGACGCGGGTTCGAATCTCGGAAAGGAAACATGGGTTGTGTTCCTTCAAGTTGTTGACTGATGGTAAATGCCAACTAGCATGAAACCTAGGTCAAGCAAGGTTTAATGTGGTCAATTGTTGCCAAACATCTAATTAAAGAGGTGCTAATAGTTAATAATATTCACTCCTAAGGGTCTCTTTTAAATCCTTAAAATTGAATTATCATTTTTGATGTACATCTGTATACTGGCTCAATAAATCACATGCCTGCTGTTACTGCACACTAGGTGATAAGTTGCATCCATCATGTCAAGGCTGATGACGTACATCTGGCTGTCAAAACCTTAAGAGGTTGATTGGAATTCCAACTCTGTGTTTCACTGTTTGAAAATCAGGTCGCTGACTCAATGAAGCACATTTTGTGCATCAACTCTGAAGCCACATATATCACAGATTCATCGACATATATATATGGTTCAACATTAGTATTTAGTATTATAGTACAGTAGGTGTTAAAAATCGACTTTTTACTCAAACTCATCCATGTTAAGAACTATTGAGTGTTATTCATCTGAACTAACAACCATTTGTAGTGTCCATTGGAAACATCTACTCATTGAAATTACTTGTGGTTTACTACCTGGCAGATTTTGAGTAAGTACATTTCGTAATATTTGTGACTTCTCAGTTATTTTTTGCTCTGACTTAATTTAGTTAACAAGTAAAGTACTTTGCAGTATGTTGTGACAGAAATTGTACACATGACTTCTCATAGTGTGTACAGTGTGTACACGAGGGTGATACTTATAATGCTATACACGATATGTAAGCATGAAATAATGCCTCATGAAATGGACATGTTGATTATTTGTACTCATGAAGCAAAACTAACAGAGTAATGATGTCGAAATATTCGTCCTTTACAGATGCCTCGCTGGACCAGGCGTCGGTGGCACAACGGTTAGGACGCTCGCCGACCATGTACGTGGTCCGGGGTTCAATCCCCGGCCGACGCACTCCTTTACCTCGCTAATCCAGAAATAATGCTGGTAAAGAGGAAAGGTTGGGCATGAGACTAGCAACCGCATCCTGTAAAATTAAACTCTGCTACAGAAACTTCAAGCCACTAGCTTCAGGCCCTATGTTCCACTGGGAACGTGAAGGAAAAAATAATAACATGGTTAAGTCATCCATTATAATCTATCTAAAGAAATAGTCTAACTACTCGAGTAAAAATGGTGTACCTCAGAAGGCGCGCATTCCAATTATTTATATGGATTAATTATTTTGTCGCCATGATCCTCACCATCTTAATCTTATCATGTTCTATTCACATTTTGATTTCCTATTTGATGAGTGTACTGAGGAAAACAAGCAATCCTAGACAAATGTGATTGTTTCACATCACGTGTCTTTTTTAACATAAGACGTTTCATATATGTGTAAAACTTTGAGCACTGTGGTGGTGGTAGTGTGTAATTCCATATTCATCTGCTTATTAGATATATCCCACACACACAGAGAGAGAAAGAAACAGTATTATTGATTACTAGATGACGACGCCTTTAGAACACAGTTTATTTATTTATTTTTCATAATCATATCATCAGCTATAGCTACACAACTTCGAAAATTTCACTTTATTTATTCTTTCCTATTCGTCGTCGTAGGGTGGTAGTAGAATTTTACAGATGTCTGAGGGAAAAGCTGTTCAGTCATTCCTGTTACACGTATTCCCTCTCAGTTGATTCGATAAATAGAGCTCCCGTTATTAATCTATTCCTCCTTCCATCCTGTTATATTAGATTTACAGAAAACCCAGATATTCAAACCGATATTTGGACTTCGGACCATCGCACCCAATGTCAGTAAAATTTAAGACTGGTGAAATGTTTAAGTGACAGTAGGGCACGAAAACTAAGTAGTACGAAGGAAAATCGAAGACAGGAAGTGAGGCATATAAGAGAAGCTTTGAAAATTAATTAATAATTACCCTGATAAATTAATCAGGAGCTATGTAGGGAAATGTAAAAATAAAATTAATAATAAGTATAATGATAGTGATGACAATAATAATATTAATGACGACATGGATGACAAATATGCATGCACAGAATAATGAGAACACCAACAATGAGGAATATAAGTCATCAGTAGTGCGTGCTTCCATGCAGAGAAGGAACCTAGAAAACTTTACGGTGGAGAATTCTTAAGAATGCAGGCAGGAATAAAAGTGGCTGGTATTCAAACCATCCACAAACTGAATTAGAAACGAGCTTTGTCGGTTAGGGGGTCCCGCCTGTGGAGCCAATTAAACAAAACAATGTAGTCTATCTAATACCCTGATGTAATGATTGTGTGTCAGGTGAAATAATGCATAGGGGAAAGTAGTAGAACGGGGTGAGTCAGTCAGTCAGACTGGTGGAGCAGGACAAGAACCTGGCAAAATGTAGATTAGTTGGCACTGAAGAGATAAGAAATGTGGAGATTAGTTCAGCTATACCGCTGACTACATGGAATTACACAAAACCATACGATATAGGATGATGCAATAAGATGACTGGTGTAAAATCTAATATAACGGTGGAGGGAGGGAGAGATTGATAACTGACTGAGGCTTTCGTTATCTAATCAACTGAGAGGGAATACATGTAATAGGAATGATTGAACATCTTTCCACCAAGACATCTGGAAAATTCCACTGCCCATATGACAGATAGAAGAGAATAAAGAAAACTATAACGTGAGATTTTCGAAGTTGTGTGGTTATAATTGATGATGTGATTACGAACAATCAATGAATTCTGTTCGGAACTTTGTCATTCAGTAATCAATAATACTGTTTCACTCTGTGTGTGTGTGTGTGTGCGTGTGAATTACGTAATAAGTTTGTTTCGATTTATAATCTGTGCTATCCATCTGCTTGGTATTTCCTTATTTTATCACAGTTGTCTATATTTCCCATCCAGTATGTAAATGTGATAAAATAAAATACATACCTGTAAAAAGGAAATGATATAAACCTTTCACCCTTGTTTTGTTTTGTTGTTTTCTTCCACGTCTAGTTTTGGCTTCAACTTGACCAAAGGATTGCTAAACAGATCGGTAGTAAGTTTTAGCCACTTAATTTTTTTCCTTTCTTCACGTATCATTTATTCTTTTCTCACTACATGAATAATTGATTTTTTTTTTCACTGCGCTTTTCTATTGGCGGCAATAGTTTTATTGGAAAGAATAAGTTGAGGCGTTGGGGTGTGGGTGGGTGGCAGTGAATGCTTAATTTTATCATTTAGCTGCACATGTTTGATTATAACTAATGTCATTGCATCTATGCTGTGAATGGTAAATTATCTCAACAGTTAAAAATCCCTGCCCTTGAAGTTCCGTTATCCGGAAATAATGCCTTTTCGAAAGAAAAGAGCCGACGACGTCTGATGGCGGAACAGGAGCATCAGTAGTTGATTGGTCTAGGCTCTCACGAAGTCGAACCTCACTCCACTTGTTACCGAAGATTTGGGAACTTTTTGTTGACTGGAACAGCAGGCTAAAATGAGCAGCCACACGTATAGTGTATTAGGCCTGATGATGCTACCCAGCTGCCCAGAATGAATTAGGTGGAACTCATACATGAGACCTATTGCCTGTAAGTCGAGTGCTTAAACCAATGAGCCTCGAGTTGCACCGAGACTTATGCAGCCAGGTAGTATAACTAGCTCTTCGTAAATAGGTGTGGTGTAATATCCAGCTGCTTAGAAATACAAGTGGTCGTTGAGTAACACACTTATATTTCGAAAGGTTATGCCGACGTAGACAACTTCTGTCATACTGACTGTGTGTGTGTGAGTTGTGTCATAATTAAAACTTTACTATCAGTAATATGTCAGATAGTGTTGCGTTATTCAACGTGATGACTAGCTTCGCTAATAATAACATAAATTGCAGAGTGACTGCAGGTTAGAAGATAATAGAAATGATTTGTAGCTCAGGTGGTGGATGATTTCAGTGTAGTTCCGTTGTCCAAGCAGGGTAATTTAATAATTGCATAGCTTTCGTTGTCCTTCTCTAGACAACTTCCTCAGTGCAAGCTGTAATATGCAGTGGAGAAATCAAAGAGCTTTACTTCATATTCAAGCTCATGCTGAAGACGCTGTCTAGAAGAACAACGAAAGCTATGCAATTAAATTACCCCGTTCAGACAATGCAACCACATCAAATGTTAGAATGCTCGAGGTGTACGCAGGAAAAAAAGGGTCGGAATAACATCTAGTGATGATATGAAGCCTTTCGCGCCTTCCTTTCATTTTAAAGCACAAAAGAAGCATCCAATTATCATAGATATCAGGTGTAAACACCGGCTTCAATTATTACTTCTCTTACTAGTGAGCGAGAAACTATTTCTCTTGTTGAATTATACATCATTCTAACTAGAAAGTAGTTTTTTGTTTCTGGACTTGAGTCTAACTGACTTCAGCCACTCAGGGAACAATCTCATTGACTTACAATATGCAGATGATATGGTCCTCCCGAATAGGTGAAGACGCTGACAAAGTAGAGCAGAGTCTACTTGAACACCTTGAGCTTGAGCAGCAATCTTCGAACGTTTGGCATGGGAGAGATTCGCTCCCGTTACTGTCAAATGTAAGATGATACTACAGGACTGGACTGGAGTACATTGACTACTCCTAGCTTTAAGGTAAGCACGCAGCCAGGCTAGAGTGAAGTGGTGGTGGCTGGCTGAGCTTTTTGACCACCACTTGACTTATTCGGGAAGTTGTATCAGCTCCAGTGGGCTGATCGCTGGCGAATCCTCAGCATGGATACAGATACAGAAAACTCGTTTGGCATTTGTCAGTGAATTAATGCCACTGCTATCTCTGGCGTGCTTAGTAGAGGTTATATCCGGTTGACTGACTGGCTGGGTGTTAAGCAAATAACGTGTGTACGGCTCAGCAGTCACTCCGTTCCCCTTTATGGCTGGCCATTGAAAGTGGAAGACATGAAAAGCCAGACCAGCTAGCTGTGTTTGATCATAAGTGCCTACGTTCCATCTCCCTTGTTGTTAAGTAGGTGGTGGTAGGTGTAACAGACAGGGTGAGCGAGCAATATTGAGGTGAGGCATCGGTCGGTCGAGTGCTGCTAGGTAAGCGGTAAGTAGTAGGAGGCGGAGAGGAAATCAATTGACGACGAGTTGTGAAGCAGATACATCGATTGAGATGGATGGTTAGGACATGTTTCGCTTGCTCATGTCTGTCTGCCTACCTGTCTGTCTGGCTAGTCATCGCCTTCCTTACTCGACCGACCGACGGGCGAGGTGATGTTAGCTGACTGACATAGGATGGATCGCTGAGGTTGGAGGGGAGTTAGCTAGTGGTGGTGGTCAAAGTAGAACATGGCTTCATCATCAGTCAGTGAAATCCACAAGAGTTTAAGCCTGTTAACCAGTCAGCCACGTTGGGAGGTGTAGACTACCTGTCTTTTTGTTGTCGTCGGGATTTTTGGAAGCAATGGCAGGGAAACAATTGGTGATATGGCTGGCTGAAAATCGTTCTCGGTGGTGGCTGCTTGGCGCAGATGCATTCACTCTTTGTGATTTATCATATCCAATAAAACTCTACTGTTCTTCCATAGTACTATTCTTTCTGCCTCACTCACACTTCGATTTATTATCTCTCTCTCTCTCTCTATGTTTTGAATCTGTGTTTACTATCTTCTGTTGGTTTGTGTGGTACATGAAGGGAGTAGTGTGTAGCAAGTGGACCTGGTTTACATCTGTCCAAAGTTCTACGTTGAAACCAGTCAATCATTCATTTATAAAGTACTTTGTATGTGTAAGATTCAGTCAGTTGGTCAGTGAGCAGTGTGTAGTCACATTTGTCAAGTGTTAGGAACAAAATATATGTGATCTTACAATCAGAAACATTTTCATTTTTGAGCATCTTCAAATGAAATTCTTATTTCATGTCAATCTGATGAAAAGCACCCTCTTCAAAAATGTGTTGGTGTGCTTATTTTCTTTTTTTTTAATTGTCAAAGTTCTAACAATATATAAAAATACCTCTGGCGATTTGTATTTGCGATGTCTGTCTGTCTGTTTTCGACATAGAACTTTGCACAGATGTGTGGCAGTTCAAGTCGCCACACTTCAATCAGCACAAAAAGCAAGAGAAGAAAGTAGGAGAAATGCATAGTATAGACAGTAAACAGAGGTGTGTTGAGACAAAGGAATAGTAATAACGAAGAACAATATAGTTTCATTGGAAATCATGAGTCACAAGACGTGGATGCATCTGCGCTAATGAAGACGATTTTGAGCCATGTCACCAATTGTTTCCAACCATTGGTTTTTACCATCCCGAGGACCCCAATGACAACAATACAGTCCCACGCCTTTCCGCACCCAGCTTACTTGCATTTTGAATTCATTCAGACTGATCCGCCTAACTTTTTGATTATCCGCATTTTTATTCACTCGACATAAACGCGCGATTTCAACCAGAATAATCATCATCATAGATACTAGCCAATACTTATTTAATGTGTGTGTGTGAACTGTTCAGTAGTGTGATTTAGATTTTAATGTTTAAAATTGATATATTATTTTGTTTTGATGGTTAAACAACTCGAGTGAATTTCAACTTTCAACTTTCTTGCTTTTAGAGAATGAATGGCAATTTGAATTCCAAGTGAAATTCTATCCATGCGACATTGACTCTATCAAGGAGGATTTAACGCGTTACTACCTTTGCCTACAGGTTCGACAAGATATAGTCAGTGGACAGTAAGTAGTAGTAGTAGTAGCTTAGAATGCTCTTTTCCGTTTATGTTGTGCTTTTTTTGTTTTTGAGTAAATATTCCAAGGTTATCAAACTTACGATTCTATGCGTTTTTTAGGCCCTAAAACTGAGTTTTACAGGTTTCAGTATGTTGCCGACTTCTGGCAACATATTCTGTTGCTGTTTAATTCCACATCCCATTGCAAATTCCTACTGTCAGTGACACATCAATGGAAAACTGTTTCCTCACACCCTAAAGATCTCCTGTTATATATTACTGTTGAAAGATTACGTCATTGGTTTAAGCAACCGTCATTCCAGTTACCAACCTGTCGTCGAGTTGGAGTTCCACTCTTCTCTACTTGATTTTAGGCAACTGGGTAGTTCATAACGACGCCTCATGCAATATAAATACAGTTCATAGTCTATTGTATGGAAGGTGTGTTCCACTTATCTGAATTCCAAGACACTATATTATTATTATATTATTATTCTCGAGGGTTCCGAGTAGAACATACGGCTTCTTCAACAACACATCTCCACTTTATTCTATTTTCTGCTGTCCTCTTCACCTGGCTAGCCCCACGATTCTCCATAATCTCTCATCTCCTCCTCTATGTCACCCTTGCACCGACCACCCACTCATCGTTTCATCTTCCACTCGACCGATGGCCTGCATTGCGCGCCATGTCATTCGACGACCTCAGCCTTCTTCAACGTATGCCCAATCAATCCATATCCATTTCCTCCTACATATTTGCTGAGCAATCGGCTCTTCGTTGGTTTGTTCCCAGCCAGAATTTCTTGTTGCTAATTCTTTCTGGTCGGCCTGGCCGTTTGATCTTCAGTATGGAGCCAGCCGGCCAGAGAAGGAGCAACTGTTGGCAAAAGTTTGAAGTGGCCTTTTGCAAATGTTTTTCGTGATGCGATGGCCAAGTTTATGACCTTATAGAAGAGCTGACTAACTGTTTTCATATTTGTGTTGGAAATCCGAATCTTCTTCTTTATGCCACTGAGTTATTGCGGACTTCCGAACTGATTTTAAGTTGACGAAGGTGTATCTCGCCCTTCCCATCGTCCGGGTCCCATTCTGGTTGGCTGGCTTTGACATATTCATCCGTTCCGACTGCCTGTGGTTGAAACGATGCTGCAGCCGACACTAGATCCTTTAAGTGAAGGAAGGAAATGACGTCTCTCAACCTCCTTCTCCCGTTTTTGGTGATATTGCTGCTTCTTGTTGTAGTTGTTGCTGTGCCTGGTGTTGTTGTTGGTGGTGGTTGGTTATTCTCATCATCTCCGTATCCACCTTCTCTATGTTTATCACCTGGATAGAGTCAGTCCTGTCTTCACTGCCAACCAGCCAGTCTCCTCAGTCAGTTTGTTTCCAGTTTTCGCCTGCCTGCATGAAGTCTTCCAGTTTGTGTTTGTGTGACACTAAGCATAGGTGATCCGCGAAATCCAGACCCCTTCTAGAATCTTCTTATCGGTCAGTCCAATGTTTTCCTGTCTTCTCGCCACCCCCCCCCACGTACAGTCTTCTGCATAATTCAGTCCACCACAATTATATAAATATCATCAGTGATAATAGACAGCCAGCTTGTCTTATCTCTGTAATACTTATCATAAATAAAGCGAGATCATCTTTCCTTTGTGAACTGCTTTTCGCCCGTAGAAACTCATCATAATTGTTATAAAGTTTACTTTAATGTGTACGTACGCCTTTTCCATCTCCCTTTCAAGTTGTAAGTAAGTGTTCATATATGACGGCTTACTTGATTGATTGATTGATTGACTGTTTGGTCGGTTGAATGTGTAAAATAAAACTATTCAGCCATATTGTTATTATTATTATCTGATATCATGAAAGCTCTTTTAAAAAAATACTAACAGAATTTGTCTAACCTCATTTTTTGCATTAGAAAAGAGAAGGAAAATGAAAGTGTGTGTACGTGTGCTATACTCCTCTAAATCGTAGAAAAGTTCACTGATCCTAGCGGGGAATAATAATAATAGTTTTTCTTAAAAACAGTAATAGCTTTAATCTGAACACTTTTCATATAATACACAGAATTTTCAGCAGAGCTGATTACATGATATTTTCCCGTCGTCCCCATGATCTTTGAAATAATAGGTTAATTGACCGACTGTCTGACTGACAGTAGATCGTGTAGCATACACACACACACACAAACCAATCCATCATTATGATATCTCTTCTGTGCCTCCTTCGACAACTAAACGACAAAATGTTGTTGATGAATGCCAGAATTATAAAATGTTCAGGAGTACATTTTATGAAGGAGGGAGACTACTCAGGAAACGGATGGACTACCATCTATCGAGGATAATGCTTATGATCATGTTTAGTAGAAACTTGCCAACCCTGCAGTTTGTAAATGTTGTTTTCAAATACTCGCCAGAGTAAACAATACTATCAGAGGTCATATTTTACTAGATTTAAACAAATTGAATAAGAGAAATTATATGCAGTGTATGTATTGATGGAGGTTAGTTTCGGTAGCCCAAGTTTTAGTCAGGCTAAGTATTTTGTAGATTAACTTTGTGGTGTGTTTCAGTTTTATCTAATTTAAAGTAGCTATTAAAAATTGCTCTGTTGTTAGATTTCAACCTAAAAAGCAACACGTTTAGTTTAGCTATTGCACTGTCCCTCTTCACCTTCTCTCCCCCCGTCTCTCTCTCTCTCTCTGTCTTCATTACTCTGAATCAATTTTATATTTTCGCCTAAGAGAGTCGAATTCTTTTTATGCTTGCCTCAATTGTTATTTAAGTGTTGGTTTGCAGGGATTTGATTGGTTTCAGTGTTAGGTAAAGCAGGTTGGGAGTGTGAGAACAAATACTCGCCACCTATGACATTCGCTAGTGCCAGTCGCGCTATATCGTGTGTGAATCCGCAGAAGTCGGAATTCATGGGCTGCCCTTGTATTGGGTCCCAGTGGCTGCTCAATGGTCTATGAGCTCGCTGGCGTTGTAACCGGAAGGTCTGGGTTCGAACCCTTGCAGTGAGGTGGGTGCGTACTGATGAAGGACATTCCCAAACGAGGACTATAGGCACAGCTGTCCAGTACTCCCTGCAGGTTTTCCAATGATCCTCTAACCGATGTCAGTTCATGATGAAATCCTGTGACCTAAATTGTGTTTTCTTTGCCCTCTAAACCTTTTATTCAAATTTTCAGGTATTGGTTTTGTAGGGATTTTGTTTGATTGATTAGAGGAGTTCATCATGAGCTGACATCAGTTAGAGAACCATTGGAATAGCTCAATGGTAACGTCTCTGACTGCAGCACTGGGTGACGCGGGCTTGCATCTCAGAAGAGACATGAGTTCCTTCAAGGCTGCAGATACGCCTTGCTGACTGATGGTGAGTGACAACTAGCACGAGACCTAGACCAAGTAAGGCTTCCTGTGGCCGATTGCCTCCAACCATCTAATCCCAAACTAGAACGAGACAGCTGTTCAGTACTCCCAGGTTTTCCAGCGGTTCTTTAAGAGTCCCAAACTAGAATGAAATAGCTTTTATTCAAATGTTCCTTTTTTCACATGTGAGTTATTTTATGTCTAATTATTTCAGTGGAATGTTTGTTCTATGTGCATATGGATGTCAGCGTTAGCCTCTGCACCGTTGTGTACGTGTGTGTGTGCATACATTCATACATACACACATACATACCTGCGCCTGTTTGCACGATATTGTGCCTAGTCACAATGAAATAAAGTTAAAATGTGAACGAGTTTGTAGAAAATAAAACACATTCAATGTTTTTGTTAAACAAACCTTGAAAACACCCGGCTATGACGAAATCAACAGCTGTGATGAAATGTACGAAATTTCATAAATGATTTATCATAATACTAATAATAAGACGGATTAAATTATTACTATTATTATACTACATAATACACTTATTCCGTAAATATATCAGCGGAACTTCTCCATAATCGCATCTTGTTATCATTATCAACACTAACAAGACGACAGCATAGATAAAACTTTGGATATTACTATTACTACACACACGTGTGTGTGGTGTTTTCATATCACGTAATTGTTTTGTGTTTTTTTTCTGATTAAATGTAGACTATGTGTGAACTGTCGGAAGGTAGGGAGAGGGAAGGAGGAGGAGGAGAATGTCAAGTTGTAGTGCTTCATTTTTGTCTGCTAAGAGAGGATGTTTTATTAGTGGTGAACCCTTGAAATTAACTTAATTACCACCGACATAAAGTGTGGTGCTGTATCTAACCGATGATGCATAATTGTCGAATAGAGATGTCCATACAGGATCTCATCATGGAAAGCCAGCTAGCTGTTTCAGTTGTCCTAGTTTGGGACTCTGCATCAACAGCACGCACCCCAATGGTGTTCGAAGCCAAGACCTTCTGGTTACAAGGCCAGCGAGCTTGTAGACCATTTTTAGCAGCCACTGGAACCCGCCAGTCCAATGCCCAGTCCATGAATTCCGACTTGTGCCAATTAACGCACGAATGTCATCGGTGGTGAGTATTTGTCCTCACACTCCCAACCTACTGTACCCCACTGGTCACAACTTCTCACTAGAACCCTTTGTTGGTTCGTGTGCGCCTCGGTGGTGGTCCAGTGGTGGAACGCGACCCACCAAACCATCACCCAATTGGTCCGGGTTCGATTCCTGGCCGGTGGACTCTTCGACTTCGCTCAACTGGCAGTCAAACCGGTAAGTTGAGGAAGGTTGGGCACGAGACACTTGCAAGGCCATTACTACTGAAACTTCAAATATCAAGCTTGACAGCCTGTACTCCACTCATACAACCCAAGGGAATAAAGAATATGTTAGTCTGTGTATCAGGGAAGTCAATTGTGTGCATTTCTGCACTATTACTCATATAAGTTGATTTTAAGGCCTTTAATGTCTTCATTCATTCACTGCATCAACTGTAGTGTAGAGTATGGAACATTCTAGTCAGTCATTCAGTTGCTTGTTATCACCCAAAAAGTGAAATAAAGTCAGTG